GCTAAAACCAAATTACGGAGCTGTTATCAACGATACTTTAAATGAGTCAGTTATTTTTGTATGATCACAAACTTGCGCTTCGACTATGTTTCATCTGTTGAAGTAGGGGAGGAAGTTTGAGATTATCATAACTTCCAGAAATCAGTAAGTGTTTACAAAAATTATTTCAAAAATCTATGGTATGAAATGTGATGAAACATCTTGCATTCTATTATTCCTTTAAGTGTCTTTTTCTTTTTTTTGAGGTAATCAGCTCAAAAGAAAATTATTTAAAAAATGTTAGTGTTTGCTAGCATTATCAACAGATAATTCATTTAAAAAACCTATGGTTTTTCAGCAAATAATTTCTAAAACGTCAATAGTGCTTTGTTCTATATTATGTAGAAATCAAACGCTATAGTAACTAGTCACATACGCTTCAGTTTTATCTATTTGTTTAGTTATTCATTTATTAATTTATAGACTTATCAGTTTTATGTAGTTTTTCACTTAAATCTTTCCAATCTTACCATATTTTTGATCAAATAACAAGTTAGACACAGTTGTGGCTCACTTAATCAACTACAAATTAGCATTTTTTACAGTTTGTACAAAACATATCCAGGACAGGACAGGTTGAATAGGGTAGAGGAGAGAGGCAAATGCAGAGCTTCCTAAAAGTGCAAGGAAGAAAAGATCAAAAAAACATCACAGTTTTTCATGATTTCTGTAAGAAAAAAAAAAGCTATAGATTATAAAGACTGTTAACGATTGAGTAGATGAAATAAAAGGTTGGGAAAGCAAAAGAGAAATCGTTTTGCACAAAACTTGTTCTGTCAGCTCATTATTATGTTCTGGTATCGTTTAAGTAGATTTAGGACGGTTTCAAGTTATTTGTTCAAAAGTCTAGGGTTAGGAAAATGTGCGGTGATCTGGTTTGTCTAGAATTTCAAATATTAGTGCTGTATTGAGGGAGTCAGTTTCTGACTTGTTTTATAATAATGGTTTAAGCAAATTTTTGTTGATTTTTAAATAAGTTTGCAGAAATAAATTCTCTACTGGCAGGCAGTATTTGTGGTAGAACAGTCAGTTTAAAATTTTATGAATTTATAACTTATTTGAAGATGACATAAGCTTAGCTTTTTGCGTACTAAAGACATTAAATTAACCAGTGAAAATTTGAATTCTAGATTTACTTATAAGAATATACTAATTATCTATATTACGCTCCTGAGAACTTTCTGCGGAACAGGACACTGGCACTAAGCAAATTTTTAAAATTTTTGATAAAAATTCCATTCTTCTTCTTTCTCTTTTCCAATTTTTTTTTTAATGTTAACATAAGGATACCTAACAACATGATCTCCACAATCCGTCATTTATACACCAAACTTGTGATTGATTTATTACTACTTTTGAGAGTAACAAACGAAACCATTAGAGAAATATTGCTTATTTCTAGGTAGTTTATTTCAAATAAATAAATAAACGATTTTTTAAAACAAAAAAAAAAAAAAACTTTTCTCTTGATATATTACTAATTGCCCATCAACGACACCAGATTTTATTTGTTGTCACATTTTTGAGATTCCAACGATTGTCCCAAAGGCAACTTTTTATTTACAAAAAAAAAAAAAAAAAAAAAAAAAAAAAA